ACAAATGGTTTTTTTCGACGGAGTAGAGTCCGGATAACGTTTTTCAAGCCATTGCTGAGCTTGAACAGTGTTTTTTCCCATTAGAAAACAATGTTTTATCAACACACGAAACTCGTTTTGGTCCATTTTTTCACGATTGCAAAGGTAGCGTCACTTTAACTACTATAGCTTTCTTGGTTATGTTTCGAATTACATTTGACACATCTCATCTAAAGGTTGGTACTTCTGAACCTTGGTATATACATGGCATTATTAGCGCAATCTCTATGCTAGTCCCGGGACTTATTGAACGATGTTTTATAAATTGTGTACAATTTATATGATCTGCTTTTGTCTTTGAATGAAAAAAATTAAAGGAAGAGGAGGAAATGTTATTCTCACAGAACTTTTGACATATCATTTAATTTTAAGAAAAATTGTCAAGTTTACAAAAATATTAAAATCACATTTCGATAGATACTGAAAATTTGTAGTCGCTTTTCTAATAATCACATCAATTTGTTATACAACAATAACAATAAATTTAGTCCTTTTTGAAGTGAATACAATCAGTTAAACTAGAAATTTAACATTTAACCTGTTTTCTTTAAGTCTTTTTCTTGATAAACACTACACCATCAACTTATTAAAAACTATTATCAATAACTAACTAATTACTGCAAAATACCCAAACAACTATAAAAGATTTACTACTTGGAAAAATGCAAAATTACTAGTTAATCGCATGTAAACAAGCATAAATCCTAAAGGTTATAAATCTTAGCTGTTTGTTTTACTCATGATTTTGGAAACATAACGCGTTATACGATCCGAAATCTAGCAATCTGATTGGTTTCCATCGGATCGCAACACGTTATGATTCCGAAATCATGAGTAAAAGAAAAGGGCTCTAAAGGTGTGAACGTAGTATGAGATAAGCCACGCCCATAATTTGTCTATTACTCGACCGTCTTTTTTATGGACCGTGAATAACAATAATTACATTTTGATATCAGAATGAAGCGAGGCGAGCGCCATCTGTTACAGAGTGTCCAAAGTTGTAAACATATTTTATTTACTATCTGCAATCGGATGTGTAAATAATTTTCAGTTTTCCATGTCGGTGAATTCTTACGATTTTCAAATATGATGCATTTAAATATTAAACCATTTCTAGACTTGAATTTTGTTAAAGTACCTTCAGAAAACCTCAAATTTCCTAATGACATATTTTAAATAACCGTTTTGATCTAAAAAAAAAGTTTTTAGCCATAAACAGTTTCTCAAAGAAAATTTTATTTCTGATATACTAGCGAATATTTTCTAACCAAATTATGTCATTAGGAGCTCCAACAAGTGCTAAACTCTTACAACTTTTCATTTGCAATAGATTTAGTTCCTTTAAATTTATTATCTTTGAAATAATTTGTTGGTGGAGCCATCTAGTTTTCCTCTGTCAGAAGTGGTCGTCTTAAATCCGTTTTCCTCGGAAATTGAGCATTTTATCCAAAGAAATAAAGAGTACCTCTTTTGTAAAGGAAATGAAGATCTATCATATGTTGACGACTAAAATTTTATGATGATATTTTAATGAGCGTTAATTGTGTCAAAATTCATAATTTTCCTTGAACCCGTTTCGAAAATATTTTAAAAAATTATTTTTTTTGAGGCTCCCATGTCCATTTGAAAAAATATTCTTATTTTTGGCTATATAATCAAGTGATATATTATTGGACACTAATTATGAGACACCCTGTATATAAGAAAGCTCTAAATTTGATAATATTGATGATATTTTATCAAAAATGTTAATTAAAATGTTAAGCAATACAACGCATACTCGTTAATATTCCGCCACGTTTTTTTGAATGCCACGAAAATAAAAAGCTTTATTAGGCTGTCTTGCAGGATTGCTAAAATAAACAATGTTTAAAAAAATACACACGCTTAAGCTGGAATTATGGCTTTCGTAATGGTATAAGTTTTAACTTATTTTAGATAGACGATTATAAGTTAAAAAATGCAGCATGACAAGTTTATAGACACGCCATTAGAAAAGAATGAAATTACTTATACAATTAAAACAAAGTGTCCCTCAAAGCGGCAAAATTTTCATATTTTTTATTTCAAAGTGTATAATGTTTAGTTATCTTATTACTGAATGTTAAGTTTCAATAAAATATATGTTTGCTGATATTTATTTTCTTACAAATCTAGAGCCACTAAACATGCGTGCAATGCATTAAATCGAATAATATATCCTTCTCCGTCCCCTGCGCGTTTGCAAGCCTGAACCCATCTCGCTCCCACACAGCACATGACGTCCCTGGGATATCCTCATTTAGTCCTATATATCCTAATCGGGTATCTCAGTCCTCAGGATATCTTCATGATATTTATTTAAGACAAGTAGATCCTATCAATATCCTAGTTGGGGATATCCCAGGTAAATCTAGACAGGATGTCCTGGAAATATCCTATGAAGATATTAAAAGTCGAACAATCTCCAATTTTGGGATATCCTAGGCAAATTCTAGAGTGATCCCATCCTGGGATGGTTCTTGGCTTGGCAGTGATGGTGCATGCGCAGTATGACATATTATGACGTATGAGCCGTATCTCGCCATTTTCTGTGTTTTCTTTGTTTTATAAGTGCGTGACTCAATGACGATTTTATTAATTTGAAAAGTGGAAAGTGAAATTTAAAGCTTGTTAAAATAGTTAAGTGACGTGCATCAACCATCTGCTGGTAGAAGTAAGTATTTAAACTACCTTTGGTATTAAGGTATTAATATCGTAGAATAAACATATAGGTTAGAATCGTATATAGTATTAACTAATTTTGTTCTTACTGTTTGTATCATGCAATAATTATATAATGCCTAAAGAACGTATTAAAAAAAAACATGTTTTCAGATATTTTTTATATAGAGCCTAATACCTACCATTCAAAAATTAGTATAGTTTTTAATCACCATTTGTAATAGATGTGTATAAGTGGTATCGCCAAATCTACATAATATGTTCAAATCTATAATTTTTAGTTCTGAATGTGTTGTATATAGGTGTTCTGACAAAGGATTGTATTGTAACCCATAAATTTAATTAATTTGTTATAGTTCTCTGTCTGTAATATTTGTACCAACATTGTAAGTTATAAGGATTACATTATAAATCGTAGGCAGAATTACGTATTATCTATTAGAATAGCTTAAATTTGATATCAACAGATTATAATGCATAGTTCATGAAATTAGAATAGTCTTGTTAAATGTATTTAATGAAAATTTTTGTTTTGTCACTTGTCTACAATGTAAATGTATTATTAACATATTTTTTTCTACAAATTTACAGCTGGAATTTCACAAGGACTTCATAATCGCAGTCCTTACACCTGTACATTTGAATGCCTGAACGATTTTTATGAGTCAGATGGTGATGTTTGATATTTTCCCTGTATTTTGTTATGTAATCGCAGTCATTACACTCGTTTTACAGCTGGAATTTCATAAGGACATTACATAAAAAATTGCCCAGAAAAAGATAATGGATAGAGCATTAAAACATGCCACGGCATGCAAATGAGAAACTATAAGAAGAGACCAGATCAACAGCACATAAGGAATAGTTATACATATAATACAAATAATAACTTAGTAGTGTATATAACTTTGTTTATATTCTGTAATAAAAAAAGTTGGTTTATATGTATCATAGAAATGACGGTCATGATTACCGTCGCGCAGCAATGAAAAATCAAATGGAAGTAGAGCATATTTACTATGCATTTTTGAGTCTATTTAATCCACCCGTAACCAAATCACTGCATTTTATCTTATGTTTACGTGTGGTGTAAAATTTTTTTGCCTGCGTATTTCTTGTAGGTATGTTATTTGAAAGATTGTAAAAATTTAAATTAGATTGTAAACATTGTAAATACAGACTAACAGCACTTGCAATGCTATCTATTGAAAAATTAATAGTATGAGAAATTCAAATTTTAATGAATAATTAAGTTTACTTCTGTCAAAAGCAAAATACTGAATTTTCACTACAAAAAACTACACTAAAAAAATATTTTAATATTACTTAAAATAAAACTACCTAATGCTATTCAATTTTTTTAAAAATAATTTTTACTTAAATTTTTCCGCACTCCCTGGTATGGAAGTCAAAAGCCGCCACTGTGTTTAATGGTTTCAGAAATGAGCCTGTCTTTACTGCAACCACACAGTAAATGAATGATGTCACTAGAAACACCCTTTCCCAAAATCCCTTTTATCTAAAAAATGGCATAAAACAAAGGATTGTTTCAGATATTCTTAACAACTTTTTACGAAAGAAATTCATCATTCAAGTTCATCTTCGGCTCCATTTTTTTTAAATTTCGTAACGTTTTAAGGAAACAAAATTGTATTACGATAACTTGATCTAAATAGGATTATTCTGTGTTCCATTGGTTTCTCGACGCCCTGTATAACTACCTACTATTCCTCAAATTCGCACTGAGACAATAAGAAAATCGTTAGCTTTGCCTCTCCTGGCTATGACCCTGCTATAGATAGGTGGGTTAAAGTTAAAAATCAATAATACGTACTTACAGCAGAGTCGTCTCAGATCAATAGGCTATTTCGATTGAGCTTACCAACATACCCGGTATGTCAGTTGAGAGTGGTCTATGGTTGAGAGATACATACTCAGATTTTTGATAAACTCATTTGAAAGGGCCTAATGATAGGAACGATATAAACCGTTCCAATAAAATATCGTTACGCAAATACCGATATATAAAATCATTTGTGAGCGACTAACCGTTAGTGGTACTACTTGATTAAATTGGAAAATTTTCATTAGAACTTGAAACAGTTTTATAGAACTTGTTCGTTGTCACCGAAATAAAACTCATATATCATATAGTTAGAAAATAAACCTGCATCTGCCGTGCGGCGGGTGTGATTCATCCTTCTAAAAAATCAATAGTCGTATCAGAGGAAAAGTGAGTAAATGAATATAGTGCAAATATGTTACCTGATCCAGAATATTTTGGAATATTTTATCATGAAGCCTACAAGGTCTTACCATCACAATTAAAGTACGTATTTCAATAAATAGTAGTTTGATAGATCTTAATTTACGTTTAATTTTCAGAAAAAAAATTGATTGGAATAAATTAAAAAAGAAATTAACAAAGTTTCGCAATAAGCCTAGAAATAAAATTGATGTATTTTACGACAATGACACAAACGTTCCTCCTGAAATTGAATTGCCTGGAAATGCATCCGCTTTTGCTGTATTTGCATCTATTCGATTAGCAGTTTTAGATAGGTGGATGCACCATGCAAGTGAAGAATATTTGCACAGTAGCTATAGTGCTCCTATACAAGATGCTGAAATTGAAAGTGATACTGAAGATAATTCTCAAAGTTGCTGTCATCATTCTGTAAAAATTTCAAAAGTTGTGGGTTTAGGTTTGAGATCTGTATTCGAATTAATTAGAGAAAGTCGAATAAGTCACCCCACTCTTTGCAGCAAAGCACTGCTGGCATTATTAAATGTTTTACAAGGACAATCGCCAGAAGGTTTAAAATCTGAGCCTTCCGAGGTTATAGATCCCTTATTTGATTTACTATTGGATTTAGCCACTCTTCACGGACCTGAAAGTTCTGTACCGAACGATGGTACTCATTTGACAGCAATAGCCTGCACGTGTTTATTATCTTTAATAATAGTAAGAGGAGACACAGGAAAATTTCTCTCTGCTACTGCAGCTTTATTAATGTGTCCACGAGCTCTTGCTCTACAAAATATTAAGGTAAGTTAACATAACAATTAAATGGTGGAATAGAAAAAAAATTAAATCCAACAAAACAACATTTTATTTAAAAAAACTAACACAATATAAACTCAGAATCATAAATATTTCACATTGTACAGGGTGTCTGGTAAATATATGGCATACTCACGGGCGTGTATAGGGGAGGTTAAAATAACCCTAATTTGTCATAAAAAAATTTCCAAAAATGCCTCACATCGGCGATTTACCTTTTCGGCTTTAACTTTTGAACCGACGGCGACGTGTATAGTTTAATGAAATTTTAATATTTTATATAGGCCATAAAGGCTCATAAAACCATACTACAGTATTGTTTTACACTGTAAGAAAAGTCAGGAACGGACTTGCCACCACACTCGTTTGGCCAAAATTTTGACAGGTGTAGTATATGCCGAAAACTGTACATACTTTGTAAGTTTAAATACTTTGGTCTTTAAAACGTTTATCAAAGTTTAAAACGTCACGTTTTCAACTTTGATAAAAATGTCGATTTTGTCGTTTTATTATCTTTTGAAAATGTAGGTTTGGGCTCTGTAGGAAAAATAGTGATATTAAATAATAAAGTTGTTACTCTTGTAAAATTTTGCAAAAGGACGTGGTCTACAACTGAAATTAAAAAGTGCCATATTCTGTAGTAATTATTACCATACATCAAAGAAAGCTGGAACATTCATATTCATATAAAATAAATGTGTCTAAATCTTTCTGTTACTATTGCAGACTTCTAAGAACTCACATAAAAAAGAGAAAAAATAGTAAAAAAATATGTTTACTAATATCACATCACGTATTCAATATAAATAAAATAAATACATATTCTTTTTGTACTAATGAATACAATCTATTTAATGTGCATGTAATATCTTAAATAGTGTTCTTTAGTGTTTAGAAACATTTATTTGTAAGTAAGGTGCACATTACAACTTTATTTAACCTGTTATCATACTCGAACTTTTTTTCATGCCTCAATGTCTATAGTCGCATTACTTCAAGAGAATAATAAAATTTGATATTTTTTATCAAGGCGACTATAAAGAAGGGGCTTCCCTGAAAACAATTTTTTGTGATGATGTTTATAAATCATCAATTATTAAAAACGTGTATCAAACTACTTCTTAAAAAATATATTTGAAAAGAAAATTGTGAACAGAGATCATTGCCAATTTTCAGCCTTACATTGCACTTCCATATCCTTAACTAAGAATCTTTGAAATGCCCTTGTTATTTTCGGGCTAGGCTCTGTGGGGACAAACCCGCTGGGCCTACCCTGATGTTAATTTCGGTTCTTATTGTTGGTTCTCGAACCGCTCCTCAGAAATTGGTGGTCCTTTGAGACGTTCCGCAATGAACTTTGTAACTGGTGGCATCCAATGCTTCCAAACATTTCATCATTCTTCACTGTTGACATTCTTAGTTTTGACACTGTAAAAACTTTGAGCATTGCCGATGATATCAGTACAGCTGCGCGTGCCTCTTGTCTGGAATGGAATCCCCGGAATCGTTACGTGCGACTCCATACCTCCGCATGGGATGGTGGGTGCTGCCTCACGTTCTTCTGTGGCATCGGTTTATCGTATACTCTGAAAATGATATCTCGTATTTTTCTCTCACGGCGTTACGAAGATATCAAGGTCCTTAAGAATAATATAGGGTTTTACGATCTGATGAGGTAGGAAGCACTGGAAATTAAACAACATTCAAGTAATATAAATGGTGGCGAAGATGTTCAGATGATTTTTTTAACAACAATCAACGCCGTAAGGGGAGAATGCGAGATCCACTACTGCACGGGCCTGAAAGTATACGCAACGACGCCGGCCATACCGCAGACTAACCTGAGAGACCCACCTATATCCATAGAGTCGCGCAGTACGAGATAACGCCCTCTACTATACTCCGTAGGACTAGAGACGCAGAGACTGCAATGTAAATCTGTAGCTGGCCATTTAAAAATTGTCATTGCATTGTCTATTCTTGACTAAGTAACACCATGTAGAAATGCGGTAGTTGTATTAAGTAACAGTATAAATTAATTGAAACTTTTTAGATGTCCACAGTGTTGTGTTCACTACAAAGAAGCGTTTATGGAGTACTTCTTGAGAAGAATATCAGACCTGACTGGATTACACATGGTGTTCTGGATAATTCAGTAATTGATTCTTTCTGTCTCAAACTTCCCAATGAATTAAGCGGAAAACAGATAATTATGAAAGCTCTAGCTTGTGATGGATGTTACTTTTATTTATTTTCATCGAAAGGTTTATTTAAAATAGGAAGTGGTTTTGGAGGTACTATAAAAGGCCACATTATGCTATGGAAACCTGATTTTTATCCCAATGACAATGGAGTTCTGGTGCACTGTGGAGTAAGTCATTAGCGTTGTTTTTTTAAATTGCTTAATGTAAAAAAAATCTTTAGAAAACAGAAGAAGTAGTCGTGAGATCAGTTACATCAATTTTTGCTCTTTATTGTAAACATTTGTAGCGTAATATACTTACGTATCTTACAACCCTGGAAATAGGCGCGTAAAGATAACCGTCTGGTCTATAGTCCATTCAGTTTATAAAAAAGTATTATTAATATTGGAAAATGCATACGTGCGTGTATGCGGGGTGGGCGTGCTCCTACCTAATACGACACCTTCCCTTTTTGGCAGGTGGACTTCGGGGTTGGCCCATGTTTGAACGGCCGGCGTCTTGCTACTCGTAGAGTGGATCCGATGCAGCATAATTGCAGATTGCAGATTTCGTAAGAACCGATGGCGTCTGATGATCCTGATGTCTTACGCAATCGGAGTCGTATGGGGACTTCCCTGGGTGGATCATGTACTTCGGCGGTGACGGTGAATGTATGTGATAGTGGTCCAGGACAATGGTCATCATCATTGTGCTGACCTGATGAAGAACCCTTGGGATCTGTGTCATCACTGGAGTTGTCGGTGAAAACTTCTCCTCCTTCTTAGTCTTCTTCTTCCTCTTCCTACGCTGTCTTTCTGATGGCTATGGGGAATGGACTGCTCAAGCTGAAGCGAAAGGGTTTGAGTGGTTGCACTCCCATGACTAATTCGCGGGGTTGAAATGTAACAGCTGGTTTCTGGTCTTTGTTAGGGAAAGTGTTAAAGTTTAATTAGTAAACTCTAATCTCGTGAGGTCGCGTTCTTATGTCGTCATGTGACTTCCTTCGTAGATGTTGAAAAGCTGGTATCTCCCACTCTCCTCTCTTTCTCCCTTAGGAGTGCCTTGGACGGGGTTTCTCCTGTTGCTCTATTTCTCCGGATTCTCATGATGCTGGCGAGGGCTCGCGAGACATGTAAGTCCCTGTTCTTCCTGCGCGATTGACGGTACATCAGAACCTCAAGAACGCTCTTAAAGTCGGCGGCCGTTATCGGAGATTATTTGTTTGAGGTCCCCGTATCTTTTAAATATTTCGTCCTCCAGGAAGTGACATATAGCGGTGACTTCACTGACAGGAACGAGTTTTGCTTGTACCCACTTGGTAAAAATATCTTCTACGATTAACATGAGTACACACGTTAGGGTTTGATACCGAAAATGGCTGCATACACTTCTAACTCATTCGCATGCTACTTCTGTTCGGTCTGGGTGAGCGTCGCACTGGCATATGAAATGATTTGTTTGTTCCTAAGTTCGTCTTTCTGGTATAAGACGGCTCCTAAATCAAGTGATGATGTGTCTATTTGTAGAAAGAATCTTCTATCGTACACAGGCCGGTACAGCTCTAGTAACTGTGAGACGTGGTGCTTTATTGCATCTCTTGCGCCTCTTGACAGGCGGTGGTCTATGTGAACTTGCGATTATTCTAGACTAGGATTGTCAATTCGCGTGCCCAATTGCAGATGAATATAAGAAGACAATCACAACATTGGCACAAAATTAAAAATCTATTGAAAATTATTTAATGCAAACTTCGCAGAAGTTGACGAACAAATTAATTATGTTGTTACTACACTATTCAAAATGAGCTTACTTAACTCTTTGTAAATCTAAATCACACTAAAGAAGTTTTAAATGAACTAGAGAATGTATTGCTTTTGTATCATGGAATCAAGTGCATAACTCAATTTAACCAAAGAACAATCTAATGCACATATTAGAACTAGCAAAAGAACCTTTAACAGTCAAATATCCTAGAGCTCAATCATTTTCAAAATTACTGTTCGTATTTAGGCGCTTCGGCACATTTTAGTGACGAATAAATTATTTTTGTAGTTAGTATGCCAACAGCAGACATTTATTCCATTTAATCCCTGTTCCTATACAAATTCTTATAATTATCCAACCACTCGTTACCTTGGAATGAGTACCGAACAACAATCCTGGCATGTCTAAAAATCGAGAATATTTACATCTACCATACACCCAGAACGATATCTCCCTAGTCCAATTGTTGTCCTATGTTAACCACAAAAACTGTCAGGCTCACCCTGTAATGAGCAAACTAGTAGCGGCAATGTTAGAAGAAATTCATGTGCGAGTCAGTCAGGTTCAAAATTGTCAAAAAAGAGTCTTAACAATTAATCAACCGTTAGTCCTGCGACTAAATAAGTACATTCCATTGAATAGAATAATGTAGTGTAATCGTAGCAAATCAACGATTCTTGGCCAAAAACCTATGGCAATATTAAGATCTGTTTATACAACTAGAATGCTATGTAAATTTAAATGCATATTTTGTATGCTCTCAACATCAGTCACATGCCATTGTTTCAGTTAATACTAGGGCAGATTTAATTGCTTTGTTAAAAGACACATAGTAGAATCTTTATCAAATACAGTAGACATAGCAGATAAAATATTAAATTTAGACGTGGAAGAGACAATAAAAAAATAGTACCTAATAATATTGTTGAATATGAAATAACAATTAACAATGTCACTAACATTCTAGGAGAAATTGAACCAATATTTCATTGGTTTGTAAATCGCAACATAACTATAAAGTAACGTTAAATAAATGTTCTATTTACAAAATGATGCAGTGGTTTGACTGGGTATATTTATCGTCTAAAATATAGATAAAAGCCAATTTAGGCCAGAAAAGTAACTTTCTCGTATTGTTTTCTGATGGTTGCTTAGGAAATTATAAAAATTGGGTAGGTATTTTAGGATCTGAAATTACACCGAGAGAGATTCTTGAACGATTTCAGAAAATATTTTTCCCAGCAAGCTAGAAAGTTCACTTTCTAATCATTTGGAAGGTTAGACAAAAATTGAGACACATGCGTTAATGATTTTGAATTCAAGTTTTGTCTAATCTTTTAACCATCTAATCAGTTCATGCTTTTATCTATAATTATATAATGATATTTTCAGGGCAAAATCTATCTTAAATTATCTGGAAGACATAATGGTGAAATTCTCACAGTTGATAAAAATAGTCTTTTAGTAACTGGGTCGATCTTACTACATAACAAGGATGCTTCCTCATCTATTATATTTTCCGATGGTGACTATTTAGGAATAATATCACCAGGAAAAGATGTAAGTTTATTCATTTCATATTCAACTTATTTGAAAGCTGTTTATTCTAGGATAGCTTTGTGGTTAGAACTTTAAATCAGAATATTTCTCCAGCACCTGTTATTAACGAATTGCCATTAAAACTAGTGAAAAAATGTATTGAAGTATTCGGTACTGCTTTTTTTGAAGAGGAAACTGGAAATTGTTCATTCAACGTAGAAAATGAAGAGGAAGTTGCTGCGATGGCTTTCGGAAAAGAATTTGGACTTCTTAGAACTTTTACGGGAAAGGTATTTGCTGTTTTAGATTGGAAACATTTCAAACAATTCAACTTTATAATAAAATTGAGAAAAGTAGCTCATTTTAAACGCAGTACCAGTGGCAACGACACGAAAAATAATGTGGGCAAAATTATGTAAACCTTTCATCTGTCATTATTTTAACAAAGTGTCTGAAGAGGGTTTGTACGGAAATACGAAAATGTAATATTTTGTCTTAAAACCTCGCTTCAGAATTTTTGAGAGATTCAAAATCGTTTAGGCGATTTGGAAAAAAGTAAAACTCTGCTAGTCCTCACAACAGTTTTGGATCCATGTTTTAAAATTGTCGGATTTTCTAATGATAGGGTGTAACCCTATCTGTGAAAGTTGTTTGAACATTTAATTTCCAATAAAATTCGTGAAATAACTTCAGTTTTCACTTAATCTTCCATTGAATTATACTCAAATTCAAATGACGTGCTTTCAGTGTGACCCATTTTGACAAAAAAAAGCAACGACTGTTAAATTTAGTGGAACGCACTTTTCACGTGGCATCATAGAGGTGCGAGATATTTGAGAGATGATTCACTTGAGAGAAATGAAGTCTATTTCAATTGATGTCGAGAACACGTATAACCATTTCCGAGATCCTTGACTTATAGGCAATAGGTTTATAGGACGTAGATGTTATAAAATAGTAGAATGCGTCCAAGCAATTGGAAATGTCGACGTAATAATTGCTATATTAATTATAGATTACAAGATGAAATAAATATACTATATTTACATTTTAACTGTAATGTCTATGCCAACAGATTTTGTTTTAATTTTATAAATATATCTTAAAATAGCGACGCTATTGATAGTATAGTTTTAAGAGTTAAACATTTTTTAACTAGTTGAACTTTTATATTTATTTACAGAAATCTGACAATCTCTGTCGTTATGTAGCACTGGTAATAAAATAAGAATTAATTTCATCAATGTTACCTATAGAGTCCGGTATTTCACCCTCTATAATTTTTATTTTTCACCTAACTACATAATTTAATCTTCAATGAATTGCATTACTATGGTAGAGTTACATTGTGCCAAGTTATACCAATGATTGTTGGACAACTGATTAAAAAGCTTCACATCCAATCTTTGAAGGATATATATATAGACCAGGCAATAAAGAGAAAAATATCTAGATTTTCGCGGCCCGGTCCGATTTTTATGCGGTTTTTTGCATTTTGGTCTGAAAGACGGTTGGAAAAAAGTCCCGCCTTTTTTATTATCCGGAAGTGGCGGAAATGCATCGCGGGTGCATAAAGTGCATCGCATCTGAGAAACTTGCCAAAGTGCACGAAATACCGCAAAAATTGGTACTCGGGGGTTTTGGGGGGCGCAGAATTCGAATATGCATATATCCAGTCTACCCGACCCCCCGGGGGGCGACTTCCGGCCGCCTGGGAGGCGCGGGGGGCGCGTGGATTGCAAGGTTCTCCGAATGACTGGAAAAATGGATCTCGGGGGTTTTCGCGGGTGCTGATTCCGAATTCGAGAGTGAAAAATATCCCCTGTGCTCGTGATGGTGGGGGAGGGCGGAAGGGGGGTGGGGGTATGAAATCTAAAATTCTCGAAATGACTGGGAAAATGTATCTCGGGGGTTTTCGCGGGTGCTGATTCCGAACCTGAGGGTGAAAAATATCCCCTGAGCTCGTGGAGGGGGCGGTGGGGGGTAGGAGGGTATGAAATCTAAAGTTCCCGAAGTGACTGGAAAAATGGATCTCGGGGGTTTTTGCCGGTGCTGATTCCGAATCTGACCCTGCCAAATGCGTCCGATGACTATTTCTGATTTCACTTACTGCGTATACAATATACATGTATGTGCGCGTCCTCGCTTCATCTGTCTCTTCCTCTTTTCTGGGACCCCTTCCCAAAAATTCCACTGTTATGTATAGGTACCGCCAGACAGCTGCGCGCATCCGTATACCTGATATTCGAGAGCGTATACAGCGGGAATTTCGAAAAGCAGCATCTCAGAATATCGAATTTCGTGCTCTTCTCATTTTTCCCCCGGGGCCTGATTGTCCTAATATATCACTAACATCACACATTATAATTTTCTATCCCCAAAATACTCTTTACCAGTTCATGAATATTATAAACCTCCCCCTACCCCCCACTGCCCCCTCCACGAGTACAGGGGATATTTTTCACACTCAGATTCGGAATCAGCACCCGCTAAAACTCCCGAGATACATTTTCCCAGTCATTTCGAGAACTTTAGATTTCATAGCCGCCCCCCCCCCCCCACTGCCCCCTCCACGAGTACAGGGGATATTTTTCACACTCAGATTCGGAATCAGCACCCGCGAAAACCCCCGAGATCCATTTTTCCAGTCATTCGGAGAACCTTGCAATCCACGTGCCCCCCGCGCCCCCCAGGCGGCCGGAAGTCGCCCCCCGGGGGATCGGGTGGACTGGATATATGCATATTCGATTTCTGCGCCCCCCAAAACCCCCGAGTACCAATTTTTGCGGTATTTTAGGAGCACTTTGGCAAGTTTCTCGGATGCGATGCACTTCTAGATGCACTTTATGCACCCGCGATGCATTTCCGCCACTTCCGGATAATAAAAAAGGTGGGACTTTTTTCCGACGGTCTTTCTGAACAAAATGCAAAAAACCGCATTAAAATCGGACCGGGCCGCGAACATTTAGATATTTTGGGGTAAATCGTTCTTTATTGCCTGGTCTAATATGTTAAAGGTCATTTTAGAAAAAAATTACGTCCTGAAAATTTGCAGTCGCTATTACATCCTTATAATAAATATAATTTAAAGGACCACGCACCAAATCAATGAAAAATGGATTTCGCCAAACTGTCTGAAATTATAGTATTTTGAACAAAGGTTTTCATGATCATAAAGTCATCATAAAAGTTCATTGGTAGGAGACGATTCTGTAAAAGAATTTCTATGTGAAAGTTGTTGGATTTGTGATAAAGTACCTTAACGCGACCTTGTCTCTGACCCTTGGTCAAGGTCAAAAATCATTCGAAAGTCAACTCAGAATGATTCAGATGGGCAATTTTCTTTTTTATTGCTGCAGCTTTTGGTCTTCTGAACAAAAGGTCATGCGATCTAGAAATGGCTAGTTTTTAACATACAGAAATGTCATGCTAAGTTAAGAAGTGTTCTATTAAAGCTGTTAGGGTTGGGATGAAATAAACTTATGTCATTACAAAACAACGATATTTTTTCAATTTTTAAAAAGGAAAACAATGTAAGGATGATTTATATATATTTAAGTATACAGGCTGTTACAAATTCGCTTCTCACTACAGGGATCTCGGAAACAGTAAGAGGTACGAAATAGCTTAAATGGGGGCAAAGTTACTAACATGATTAGTTTTCGAAATATTTGAAAAAAACCGAAAGTTTGGAAATCCGTTTTTATTTCATTTCAGCCTTGTTTGAGGTGTTATTGGAAAAAGGACACTTTCTCATGGTCACTTTTTGTCCTCTATCGAACGGCATAATTAATTTTTGTATGTAACGTTTCGTCTATCCAGGACCATCATCAACTTCATTTTTTTAAATACGACCCTGGAAATTTTATTATAATTTTTGCAAGCCTTCATGACCCCCAATATTGTACTGCCTCAGCCCGAATCAGATTTAGACGTTTTGTCTCGAAAAATTCATTTTCAGTGTATTTGTTCCAAATTTATCTAAATTTTTTATTAAGATTTCTTTGTTTATTGAATTATCGTACACTGTAAGTGTCCTTAGACCCTGTGAAATCCATCTAATTATTTAAACTATTACCACCACGCGTTACAATAAAACATTTATTATTATTAATTATTACCCTCACTTGGTCATACATGCATAACTCATAACTTGTTGCGTCAAAATTAAAACATTATTACAATTTTAATTTTATTATGACAAATTAATTCTTAAAAATGCATATGAACAACCAAAACGTCAACTGAATTATTCTTTAAAAAATTTCAGTAATGTTCAAAAACATGTTCGTTTTGGCAAAGGTTGAAAATGAAGATTAGTGTAATATTACCGGAATTTATTATATGTATCTGTAACTGCAACTGTGACATAGCATGTCAGATGTATTTGTATGAATATAATAGATCGGAATTTGTTTGAATTTTGAGCAGTCGAGAAGCCTAGAAATAACTATGAACACGGGAATAAAACTAATAATTTTTTATTTTAATGCGTGCTGGTAATAGTTTAAATAACTAGATGGATTTCACAGGGTCTAACGACACTTACAGTGTACAATAATTCAATAAACAAAGAAATCTAAATAAATAATTAAGATAAATTGGGAACAAATACACTGAAGATACATTTTTCGAGACAAAATATTCGAATCTGGTTCGGGCTGCCTCAGTATTGGAGGTCATGAAGGCTTGCTTCAGCCAGTTTGACGGTTATCAATTTTCTATTGATTTGGTGCGTGGTCCTTTGTTAACTTGATTATTATTATAAAATAAATCTTTATGAATCTGTTCGTAAACAAACAATCATTATGGGTAGCAGTGATGAATGTAATATATTATATATATAGTTTTAAATATTTTTGTTATCATATTTGATAAATTATTTATTTAATTAAATTTTTGTAGGTTTTATACTGTGGAAAGTCTTCTGCTCTGGGTATTAAACAGTCTGGAGTTCGCACAGGGAAATGGTGCGAATTAAATTTAACAAAATCACCAAAAATTAACCACTTAGCAGTTGGCCATGATGGATTACATGCTATTTTAATTACTGAAGACGGATCGGTATTTTTTACAGGTTTGTATTATTTTTTAACAATAAAATTTTAGTAAATTTTACATTTGTAAGTTTAAAAGGGGTGTAGTCATGCCTTTAGCTTTTACTTATACTAAAAAAATATCATGGCTATGTGTAAAGTCGAATCGAGGGAGTAGTAGTAGTTGTAGTAGTAGTAGTAGTAGTAGTGGTAGTGGTAGTGGTAGTGGTAGTGGTAGTGGTAGTGGTAGT